TAAAAAAAAAAAAATTAATGACAACTAACAAGAAAATACCATCCTGGTTCCCAGCACCACCAGAAGAAAGGTAAAAGGTGAAAGCACTGGACTCCAGAACATACCCCTACCGGGGCACTTAGGGAAGCAGAGAAGGAAGAAATGAATGCCCTAATCGAGAGTCCTCTACTAGAAATGGCCAGAACTGCAGACTGAACCGGACACGTGTCCACCCAGATAGACTTACGCTCATGCACGCAGCACCGAGCAGACACGAGGCAGGAGACACTGAAACATATAAGTGAGCCGAGCATCCCCATGTCTCCTGAGAGATGGCTGAGGCTTGCCCCAGAGATTTGGGTAAGCTGTAGACGGGTTCTATGTACACAGAGGTTTTAAGGGAAGTTAATTAAAAAAAAGTTTTTTTATCTTGGTAGAGAACTAAGCCAAACCACTGAGAGGTGGCAGAAGCAGCCAAGACAAAACTAAGTTGCACATTTTCATGATATTAAACCAGTATCCTGGAAGACCATCAAAAAACTAAAATGTATCTGAGAAAACAATGTTACCAGACCTCAGAGGGATGAGAGGGTCAATCAGCAAGTCAAGGTTGATGGGTAAAGGGATACTTACACCTCCCAGGTAGACAGAAATGTGTCAAGTGGTACTCTAAGCCAGAGTAGAAACATAACCTCCAGAACATCCATTTTCCTTAAAACACAGATGCTACAGAATATTAAAAAAAAAAGTGATTGTTTTCACAATGCATCATCAAAAACTTTCAAGCATGCAATGGCCCGCTTAGCTCTACGCCTTTATATTCTCCAAAGTCTTGTACTTACCCTTACCTTTAGATGTAATTTAATGAAAACCTCTGAGAAACACGAAGGCATGTAAAATTGGTTTTAGGGCTATCACAACTCTGAAAGAAAAGCAGAGCATAATTGTTCCCATTTGAAGAGCCTAGCATTAGGGGTTTTGAATTACTTGCCACATGATTCTTAAATGGATATGAATCCAAGTCATCAGTCTCTCCCAAACTACACTGCCTTTCTAGAGAAAAAAGATTTGTCCTATTGGAACCAGAGAGCTCAGGGGTTAAATTTCCAAGACGAACTAAAAATAGGCAGGAGAGCCCACAAGAGCTTTCAACTCTGTTACTCCAAGTTACTCTGCTGGTAATTAGCTGAAAATGAAAACCTCTCATTTTCTAATAATCTCTCCGACACACATGACATTAAAGCAAAACTAAAATATAGGTCTTTTCTTTTACTTCCTATGCTCGACACAGGTTAATAAGCTTGGCCTTTTGAAAATGTGTTCAAGAATTCCCTCAAAACATCTTTCAGTACTTGGTTTTATATGATCTGGCCAGGCTGCACAAAATGCTGTTCAACTGAAGAAGAACAGCACACAGTTCTTATAGTGGAAGAATGAAGGCCTTCCTGCCTTTTCACCCCACAATGACAAGGGAGGATTAAGCAACTGGCCCTAACTGATAGTCTCTGGCGAAAGAAAGAAAATTTCACTAAGGCCTCTTCATTCAAGGGAGAGAGAATGCAATCAGCAGCGTACTGTACCCCTTGGCTACCTAGGAGTCCAAGAGACACTGAAAAGTAGCATGCAAGAAAGAAAAATCCTAAATGATTAATACCCATCAAATGAACTTGCGAATGCGTAAATTTTACAAATAGTACACGAATGCATTTAAATCTAAATAAGACAAGGCTACAAAAAAAAAGCTGCTAGGGACAAACTCTTACTAAACTTCAAAATCTGCTGTTAGAGACTTTGAGAGAATTAAACAGCAGTGGCTAAGAGTTTTTAAGCAGTCGCCCATCATAGTTTTGAGTAGGTACAGCAATAACCAAATAAAACAATTGGTGTTATATAATCTGAAGCTTCAAATGGAAGGAAGAAAAAGTGTTCTACAGTGACACCTACTGGTAAAGAGGAACGTAGTAGCAGGACACTATTACACAAAATAGTCAGATGTTTACACCCCTGGAGCATGCTAGAAGCTACAGAGAAAGACTGAATGATACTCGCAAAGGGAAAAGCGAAACAAACAAAAACATTACACATACCAGTGGCTGTGTACTACAAAATAAGCCCAAAGGACATCACAATCCTTCTTAACCAAAGATTCTCAAATCAATAAATCTGAAAGAGGTTTCCCCTGGTCCAAATTGGCTACGCAGGTCAAATTTTTAAACGCAAGTTAAAAGTAAGCTGTCCAATGTACTTATGATTCTATTTTACAGAACAAAACCGAAAAAGGTAAAATTGAGCTCTGTAGGAAACCAGACATTTTATCATTTTTCAATTTTAATTGAAGAGTTATATGAAGAGCAGTCACATAGATTTGAAAATCAAAGTTTTACATAAATCCCCAAAGTTCCAGTTTGCAAACATCACTTTTCAACATCATGACCACCAAGGCAAACAGAAGGCCAGATAATCACCTTTTCCCTGAAATGCAAGCTTCAAAGGACAGGGTCCATTTTCTGCCATACTTTTATACAAAAGTTTAAGAAATAATAAGGTTAATGTGACCAACGTCATCATCAAAGATGATGGAGAATTTAATTGGTGATATGACGAAAGCACACTTTTCCTAAATAACTAGTTGTCGCATGGCACAGAGAGATCCAGAAGGAAACTTAAGAGGCAATCTACTTCAACTCCAAGATTCCATTAAAATCTTACAAATTAGAGAACCCAAAATTCAAGTATTGTGGTATAATGAATAACAGAAAACATGGGTTCTAGTCTTGGATCTTCCATTAACTAGTTGGTTTTCCAAGAACTACACAATCTTTAATGAACTAGACAATCTTTCTGGGCAATAATTCCCTCATCTACAAGATTAGAGGGAATTGAATGGGCCTCCCAGTAAGGCCACTGCTAAAATGTCTTCAGTTTCTATGATTTCCCCAGCGATGGGAATGGTTTGGACATCAATGTCTATACCTCAATGACACTGCAACAAAAGAGAATTTGGTTTTATCTTTTAGCTCTATCCTGCTATAAGAAAACCATATAAACAGAATCGCACATTCACCCTGCAGTCTAACTTGTTTGTGACTGAAAGAATCCTTTTTCCATCTCCAGTGCCTTGCACCTGGCACACAGTCAGAACTCAATATTTACTGAAAAAAATGGCTGCGGAAAAAGATTGCTCATTACGTAACATGCAAGACTGCAATACCAACTCTTTAAATTGTTTTTTTGTAAAACAGATACTTTTCTCTTTTACAAACTATGTCTGTTTCATGATAATTACAGAATCAGTGTATAAAATGCTTAAAAGGCTGTAGATCTTCAAACATGGACAGAGCTTGCTCTAAAATGCCTGAATATGAAAGTCAGAAAACGTTAATTTAGGTCATAACATTTCCTGAATTTATTACCTACCTGTTAAAACTAGTTCAGTTACTGAACCAGTAGGGGTGGGAACACAACACACATTCCCCAATACTAATTTTTACCAATAACAGGCCATATAAAGCGACTTCCTCAGACATAATTAGTCCTCTCTACTCATGAGCCCAAAGGATAAAATGGAACAAAGTTGTGCTTTATTTGTAAATAGTGCAGAAAACTTTAAAAAACAATTAATATTAAAGTCTTGTTCAGCAGCTTTCTCTGCTTGGAACTTCAGTGGCACAATGCGCTCTTGACATTCAGAAGCTTTAAAAAGTGTAGCTAGAGCCGCCTCTGACAGTTCATCTGTGCGTCAGCCTGTTCAAGTAACTGACTGGCATTTAAGGACAAGGGACAAAAGAACACACACAAACTTTTACTTATGTCAAAGGTGAAATGATACGCGTGCTTTGAATTTCACACTGTATGTATCTTTTTCCACTGGCAATACAAATATTAGTTCTTAGAACGTACATTTGTGCAGTTACTTCAATTGCACTACTTTTACCATTTAAATTTATTCATTCATTCACTGATCAAATATATATTGAGCACTTAGTAAGGGCCAGGACCATTAATGAACACGAGGAGGGAGTAAGACAGGAAGACAACACAAACGAAAATAATTTCAGGTAGTGATAAAGGCTGTAAAAAAACAGTTCTTTGAAGTATGACTACAGTTATCTGATTTATTTTCCTGATATACATGAATATACTACATGTAGACCTCAGGAAACAAAAAGAGTCTAAATCATTTCAAAAAGGAAAGTTCACAGTTCACATTCAATACACATGTGTCTTGCAGTCTCAATATCTTAAATATGAGTCAAAGGAAGTATAAAAGAAACCGAGAACCGCTGAAATGGGAGATGAAACAGATTTAAAACATCTGTTCTCCGTCTTTGCTGGGTAAGCACATGGAGGAGAAAGGTGAATAGCCAATAGATTTTTTAAAAAGAAAAAACAAAGGGAAAAAAACAGACAAGCTCGCCCAGTATTCTAAGGTATTCTGTGATACTTTAAAGGTAACTACAACGCCCTTTAAGAAAGCTACATATAGTCAAAAAGACTTAAAACCATTTCCAAGAATATTCAAGTCACTCCCCCTACAGCCCCCCGCACACATTCGCCCACCCCCCCACCCCCCCGAGTATTATCCTTTGAGTTGCTCCTCAAAGCTGAGGGTTTGGCAGGAACTTATTTTCTCTGACTTTGGCTCATTTCCAAATTCACCAAAACATGCAAAGCAAAGGTAAATTGCTTCTCTTACTCTATCTTCAAATCCACGGTAAGCCGGGAAAGAGCAGATCAATAACCTCCATCTAGGCTGCGCCCTGCAGGGGAGGGATCAGCCGGGAAGCGGCTCCCCGGGGCGACCCACCCAAGCCCGCGGACCCGCGCCACCCGGCCCCTCCAGCCCGCCCGCCAGGCCCACCGAGCGCGGCCTCAGGCCCCGCGCCAAAAGGAGAGGCACCGCGGAGGATGGGAGACGCGCGGCGGGAGCGGGAGAGATGCAGCCCCAGCGCCCGCCGCCCGGGCCGCACCCCTACGGCCGGTCCCGGCCCCCCAGACCCCCGCCCTGGAGCGCCTCTGACCTCTCCGTGCCCCGGGGCTGCTGCTGCCGCCGCTGGTGCCAGCGCTCGGACTGCCGGAGCCGCTGCTGCTGCTGTTGCCGCCGCCGCCCTTGGCATTCTTGCGTGGGGCCATTGCGCTCACCGCTGGAGCAGGCGAGGGGTGTGGGGCCCCGCCGGGCGCGGGGACACTGGGGGCGCGGGGACACCGACGGCGGCGAGCGCTGCGGCGGGTGCGGGCCGCGGCTCCTGCTGCAGCGCCTGTGCCTCGGTACCGCCCGCCGCGCCTCCGAGGACTTTCACCCGCGTGCCGGCTGCGCGCGCCCGGCCCCCGCGTGCGCCGAACCTGCGACTCCCCCCCGAGGCGAGAGCGCGCGGCTGGCCAGCCCCCTCGGCCACGCCCCTTCCCTGCTGAGCCCCGCCTCCTCCCCGCCCGGAAGGCTGAGTGACGGGGATTGTAGCCAATCACAAAGGCTTCTAGGAGGGGGCCGAACCCTGCCGCGCTTCCCTGCCCCCTGCAGCTTTGGAGGTGTTCTGGCGCGACGCAGTCGCCTGTGAGCGCGAGCAGCTTTCGACTTTCCAGTCTGTCCTGATCCTTTGGAACGTGGCAAACGTGGAAGCCGAGATGGCTCTCGCGAGCATTGGCAGACCCCGCACGATCGGAATGGGGCGGGGCGCGGGGGCGGGGCCGGTGGACACGTGGGCGGTGTCCGGGCGGAGCGTGCCGCCTCCTGCCCTTTCCCTGGGAATTGTGTTCACGTCCCAGTTCTGTGCACGTACAGACGCCGAGCAATGCAGTTCCGCTTCTTGCGAAAGAGATGTGGTTCTTGTCAGTATTAATATTAAGACATTTCTGAAATGGTGATATTAGGGGTAGTTCAGTGCTTAAGCCGTACGTAGTTGATCGTTTCGGTTTTAAAGCAAAAGTTCATTTCTTTTGTGTCATTAATATTTTCAGAGAACCTTAGTTTAAGAGATGCGAATATGAATGTAAAACAAAAGTTCATCTTCTGCCCTGGATGGCACCCTCTATCTACAATCTCCCTCTGCCGGGCTAACACCTACAATCATCTTTCCTTAATGTCCACAGCCATGGGTCTGTCTTGTGCAGTCGCACAGTGCCTGGGCCTGAGCTACCTCTGAATTCCCCACGTGGTCTTTAAATATCTGGGACCATGGGCGAACCAGACAGGAACTTGAGGTCAGGGAAGTCATCATCATGTTGGTGTCACCAATTGCTAGCACAATGCCTGGTGTGTAACAAACAAGCAAGAAATGTGTGGTGATTTGATATATTTCTGACAACTTCTTAAGACCTTCCCCCAATTCTTAACCATGTTTTGGAGCCCCTCCTGGGAGTGTCCCAAGAAGGATCAGGAACCAGAGACTGGTTGCAGTGTGGTATCTGGCTTTATTCCTCTTCTCCAGCCCTGCCACCCCTCACTGGCAGGTCCCCAGGCCCACCTGCCTCTTCTGCTGTGAATGTCCGGATGCCGCTGGGCACTACCTAGTGATACACAGAAGTCCAGAGGGTCGTGTTGCATAATGGGGAGAAGGCCTCTCTCTTAGTTATCAAGTTAGAGCAGAGGCAGAGGAGCACACAGAGTTTTTACTGAAGCAGCTCTTTGTTTTTATCTTACAGTATCTCCTGCCTCCACACATCCTTTCTCCCACCCAGGCGTCTTTACATTATTACAGTGAGAGCGAGAAGGGGAGCTGGGCTAGGAGACAAATCTAAGCGATAGTACTTAATATAAAATAATAATGAGAATTAAGCTGAGAAAAACAATGCTCAAGATATTTGAGCTCTTAAATTCTCACAAAACTCTGTAATTGTGAGGTAAGAGAGACCCAGAGAGGTTAAACAAAGTAACTGAGGTCACAGAGCTAGTAAGTGTGAGAGCAGGCATATGAACTCAGTCCATCTGGGTCCAGAGTCTGTGGTGCAAATTTTCCTTCCAGGACAAGGATTAGTTTTGAGCAGAGAATGTCTCACCTGGTTTCCTATTCTCTTAGGAGATGTTTCCCTGAAGCCTCCTTGGTCCTACCTGCAAAGATAGATCTGAAACCTGATGGTGGGTGCTTAGCAAAGTCCACCTCTGAGGAAATCAAGTTTTTCTGATGCCTGAATCCAAAATGTTGAAGTGAACCTTCGCTCCTGCATTCCAGAAACCAAATCTGGTGCCATTGACAAGGTACATTGCTGTAATCTTAGGCAGTACCAGGCCAAATGGAGGCTTTGTAAATATAGATTACAGGAAGTTAAAGGTTACCTGGCTTCCTCCTTGTACCATAGGAAACAGCTACAATGACATTTATACACAGTATTATACAATAAAATGTATAATATCAGATACTGTCAGTTATATATAGTTTAGTTTCAGGGACTAAATTCGCCAAGCTAAGTATTGGTATGGTGCCTTTTACATCTGTTTGTACTTCCCACTGTATGAGCGTTAAAAACCACAAAGCTTGCCTGGGAACCATCAATTTCTTCGCATAGGTCTTTTTCTCAGCTTTGAGGTGAGAAAGGTGAGGAAGTCAAAGTCTCTTTGAAATTGAATAAAAGGTCAAAAATTTCTTGTTAGCCGATCCTCATTTTTGTGATTTCTGAGTAAACTATGAATGAACCCTGGGTGAAGCAATGTTAAAAGGGCCATAAAGACAAGACTTAACTAGGACAGTGTATTAAAATACTAATTGAATAGAGCTTTTGAACTAGGCCAAATGCGCCTTTCAGATATTTCCATAAACTTTCCATTGGCTTCACTGGGACTTGCAAGTGAGAACTGAGGACAAGATTTGCCCTAGTTTTTATTTTTCTTTCCTTGTGTTGACCCTCCACAATCTCCAGCCAAATGCTTTCCAAATTAGATATTTCTGGACTTAGTTATACCTGTGAGAAAACGGTTTTAATCTGCTTCCTAGAAAGTGGCTCTCATATATATGCAGTCCTCCTAATGTGAAATTTTATTATTGCAAACTAAAAACGAGTATTTTCCGCATCTTTATTTACCATGGTAAATTCTGCCATAGTGGAAAAAATGAATTTCAGCTGCTCATGATTCAATTGTACTTTTCGTTTTACATTAGTGGAATTGGTTGCAATGAAGGTTATATTGTTAAGTACAAGAGCACTTTTAAACCATTCTGTACTCAAAGTGTTCTCAAAGCAATTATTCCCATATGAGTTATATCTCAACAAGTAACTGAACTGTCATTTTCATCAAACAGCTTGACTTTGTATCACCATAGAACAAATAAGCCTGGCTAGTATCTACATTGCAAATATATAGAATGAATTTATACGAGCAGAAGTAGTATTAAATCTAGTCAAAAACAGATTAGAATTAGAAATATTGTGTTGTAATATGGAAACATAATCTGAAAACATATTAGCTAAGAAACCTATCATTTCTTTTTTCATTTCACTTCTTCACATTTTCTATCAGGATTGGTACTTCTCAGTGCCAAATTCCCTTCCTAATAAATAGCATTTAGTGATGGCTATTGGTAGACTTAAGTTTCCTAGTATCGGGAACTGATACAATTGAGTCTTCCTAAGTCAAACTTAATGCCAGGAAGAAGCTTAAGCATGAAGAAAAAGTCAAATAATTAGAGAATAACTGCTTATAAGCATGGCAATTGCGTGATATACAAAAGGAGATATTAATGTGATTTAGGAGTCTTTAGAAAGTAATAGAGAAATCAAGAAAAGAGAAAAATGTAAAATCTCAAGGATTCAATTTGCGAGATAATTTTACTTAAACTCTATTTGCCTCAAGGATCTAATGAGTGTGTATCTATAGCTAAAGTAATTATTTCTGTCTTTCATGAGAACCATTCTCCTTAGTTGGAAACTGGTCCCTGATCCAAAGAAAAGTGTCCTGATACCACTTTCTAGGATCCTCCAATTTCGTCAATCCTAAATACGTAGAGCAGATGTACTTGCCTTACAACAAATGTGTTATTACAATATGCAAAATTGAATCAGTCAACTCAAATCCTTGCAAGTTATGGGAAATCATGCATACCTTACATAAAATTGGTATTAACTCAGCCCATTTTATACTGTCATCATTCTGATTTGAATCTATTCTGCAGTTTCATGAGCAGATGAGACACATTACTGAACCCATACAAAAAAATAAATCCTAAGAGTCTTGCCAAAGAACTTGCTAGCATGGAAAATAGGGAGGGTCTCTTTGTATCATTGCACCAAGATTTTATTAACCTAAAGACCACTGCTAATATATTTGAAATTCTACAGTATTTCTTTACTTAAGAAGTACAGTATTTATTACTCTTAAAAATTGTTTAGCATTATATTGTGGCTATTAACTAATAGTCCTGAATATTTCGTAATTCTTCATGGAACTGCTACAATGCTGACTTCGTCACCTGAGAAACTCATTTCTCTGTCGGCAGATCCGTTTGAGTTAGAGACAGATACCGGTACCCTAGATGTTCGCTGAAGCTCCTCCTCCCAGCACGAGAAAGCATCTCAATCTAGTAAAACCTAGTGGAAATCATTTCCAAGCAGCTGTCTCACAAATTATATGGTTCTGTTTTCTCTACTTCTTTATGGCATCCATATTGCACTTAAATGTTTCTATCATCTCCAACACAAAAGAAGAGTTGAGGAATGCAGCTATCAAAAGGTGTCCTTAGAGATGATGTTGTGTAAAAACCTAAGTGGAGAAGTTTTAACTGTTTAGCGGTATCCCAAGAGATTGTTTTTAAAACAAATTCTCTTTCCCAAATTTCAGAAAATTAAAATCAAATATGAACAGCTATTAATGCTTAGGCTTGTATGAAAATAAAGTCACAAACAATATTTAGGAAACTATGTGCAGGCTGCAGAGTGGAGTGAGGACGGCCAACCTCCGCAGCTATGTATCCCCAGTGAATCAGGCAGCGTCTAGTGCAGAGCAGGTATTACATAAATGTTTCGCTTGCTGTTCCTCTGCCTGCGGAATGCTTTTGCCAGACAGTTCAGAGGGCCTTAGGACTCTCGTCACCCTCTCGGTTTAGCCCCAAGCCCTACAGTGCCTCTCAAGCTGATATGTTCTTGGTGAGCACTCTAGGCATGGGTAATAAGTAGTTAGCCATTAAGACACTAGGAAGCTGCTTATATTTGTAAGGGAAGGGCTTATATTTGATAGTAATGCCAAAAATATTTAAAATCAATGTCTTTTTGACAGAAGGGAAATTTTTTCAAATAGCACACAACCTAAAATTTTAATGATTTTCTTAAAAATACGTAGGGGTAGCCCATTTAGCATTTATCCCATTGTACAGCTGTGGGCAGCCATGAATAAATTAAAAAGCAAACACAGGAGGAGAAGGAAGCATCGTATGAATCTGTGCAGTAATCACTTAGGCAGCCTGAGGCAGAGAACTAAATTTAACAAATACCTACAAAACGTGAAATCTGACCGATTATAAACAGATAAAGTGACAACTCTCTACATTTAGAACGAGAGCCTCCAAGTAATGGTGTGACTCCTAAATCAGACCAGCATGTGACAGAAGAGAATCTGGGAATGACATAGAACCAGGATGGAAAAAACTCCCATTATCCCATTATTCCCTTAGCTACGTTTGCCTGGGTCTTCATTTTTCAATTTCCCAGTTAGGAGAGATTAGCTCTAACACCAGAATTGTGCTCAA